GTTTCGCGGATGTCGTGAATTGCTGGTCCGCTTGGCGGGCCGCTGGGGAGTAGCGCGCGTGTCTGGAGTGAAGTGAGGCCGTCGTACGGGTTACAAACGAGGGGGGTTTTATCGTGCTGTTTAGCGCTAGGAGTTATGGCAGCACCCCTGTTTCTCGGTGTAAAACAGTACTGTTAATGTTAGAACTAACGCAGAACTGAAATCTGCCTGAGAAACACTGTGTATATTGAGGCTCTGTGTATTGTGATGGCTCTGGGGAAGTGATAAGGCTGACAGAAGTAATGAAAATGAAACAATTTTATGACTCGGATCTTTCTTCTCTCTCTCTCTCTCTCTTTTTTTTTTTTTCCTTCTCCCCTCTGCCTTTAGACCATCCAGAAATACAGGAAGAAATTTACAGAAAGGATGATAGGCTCCTCACTTTGCTAAAAGATGTTTACGTTGAATCTAGAGGTCCACCTGTGCAGGTGAGTATGTCTCGCTGTAGGAAGCATACGAGCATCAGCTTTGTGGTTTTTAGTCTCAACACAAATCCTACCTAGTGGGCAGATTTTTCAAGAAAAATGCTCTCTTAGTGCCTAAAAACTACCATTTTTTATAGGTAAAACTGATGTTTTCATTGCCCTTCTATATATCAGTAGCACTGACTGTGTTTGATGCTGAGTGGTCTTGAACATGTGACAGATTATGGTAATGTAACTTTTAAATTCTTAGTAGTCTTTAACCTCACAGTGATTATTTTTGGGTTTTTTTCACCTAAGTTAGCACTCCTGCTTCCTCAAAGCCACAAGGATAATTGGCCAGTCTTTTGGAAAAATGCACAAGATTTTGCAGACTTGCTAGAAGGAAGGAGACTGAGATTAATATAAAAGCATGGGTATGGTAGAGGATGAGAACAATAGTATCAGTAGTTTAAAAAAAAAAATACTCCAGTGAAATGTTCATGTCATACTACGCAGAGCCTTTTCCTTATGTGGCTGAGGTCGTGCTTTAGTTAGGTTTCTCTGTATAACCTTTGGGATTGTTTTTTGATCAGTTTCCTCATCATTAATGGCTTCAGTCTTTGACTTGGAAGGCAAGGCACAGCCCTTCCGGTAATGTCTAGGCTCGGGTTCAGTCTCCTCTCTTCCACCTCATTGTGCTACATCTTGTGCTTTTTTACCTCTTGCGTTACTGGATCATTTTATTCCCGCTCCTTCATGTGGTAATAAAAGTTATTTGAACATCCAGCAATAAAATTCATAAGTCTCTCTGATTTACTGCTTTTATGGTGCCTTCCATTCAAGATTTAAAAACATCTTAAACTAGAAATGGATTTCTGCAGTTTCTCTCTGAAGTATCCAAGTAATCTCTATCCATTATTTTCGTAAAGAGATTAAGACTCTAACCTTGAAGCGCTAAAGATTTCAATATCTTTGGCTTAATTTCACTATCTTCAAACGCTTCCCTTTGTCAGGCTGTTCAGAGAGATTTGAGGAAAAGCCAAAAGCAGAATAGGTGTCTTAGTACTTGACTAAGTCTGAGAGCCTAGTCTGAGGTGGCTGGTGTGCTTGCAAGACTTGCTCTTGTAATGTATCTACTTAAAATTGTTAGGAAAAGTATGAAAAATGCGTTAGCAGTGAGGCTTACTGGCAAAACTTCATCCAGCAGCTTATTTCTTCCTTTCCTGCTATTAATCTGTATGCCTTGTGTGTGTATGTATACATATGTATGCATACACCTCCACATGTCTGTCTATATTAAGGGGAAAAACATACTCTCAGTTCTGAAGTAGCAGATATCCAGAGCTGGCTTATTTTATTAAGACGTTAAGAATTTGTTGTTATCTCAGTGTAATTTTAGGATGGCTTAGGGAAGGGAAATTTGATAACACATTAGCAAATGTTCTTTGTAATTTAGAAACAGCACGGATGCTTTAGAATCTTTTTAGCTTATGCGTTAATACAAAGTGTCTGTGGGCTAATCAGTGGCCATAGGCTATGATAATTTTAAAAGTAGTGTTTCTTGAGCTTGAAGTTCTTCACTGTATCTTTTCTGCAGTGTCATTCACTGGTAAAGTCCTAGTAAAAAGGAATGTGAGGAAGGCAGAGCTGGTTTGAAAATGACTTAGAAAATGAAATGTGAAAGGACTTGGGACTTTGGGTATGTGAGCACTGCAGTAATCATGGGAATTAAATTGCCTATGGAGCTGCAAAATAGCTTTTTTTTTTTTTGTCCAACAAAGCTTGTGCTGCAGGCAGAGCAAAAGAGGGGCTGTCTGCTAGTTACAAAAATAAGATGTAAATATGAAAAAAGGGAAGGAGAGAGAGAATGGGCTACAGTGATACCAGAAGGAGGATACCAATTTGTAGTATGATGCCCCCACCACGAATCAGTACCCAGTATTATATTACCTGTATTTGTGTTTGACTACCACAATCCGTAGTGTCACATATATAGGGCTGTACAATACCTACTGTTTAATGGATGTTTGGGTTTCCTGAATCTAGGTGGAGATTTGGCCCCATACCTAGAAGGACTGTGCAACAACTGGCTATAATTGTAGTGGTATCAAGAAGTGCAGCAGACAAAGCATCCTTTCTTTAATGCTGTGAAAATGCTGAAAAGACATATTCAGGAAAACAACTTGGCTGTTTACAGTATGCATAGTAAACAGAACTGCTGTTAAGTTCTTTTGTTTTCCTTCCCACAATTAGGTAAAAGATCAAGGTGGTGAACATCTTCCATGCAAACAGGAGGAAAAGAGACTTACAAAACTAGGTCATTTGGAGGCTCTAGACGTTAAGAAAGTTCCCAAAGGCAAAATTTCCATTGTGGAGGCTCTGACACTTCTCAATAATCACAAACTTCATCCTCAGATATGGACTGCGGAGAAAATAGCAGAGGAATACAGTCTGGAACTGAAGGAGGTCACCTCTCTTCTGGAATTCTTCATTCCTTTTGCTGTGCAGGAATTTCCTACTGAAGGCAGAAAAGCTATAAAACCAACATAAAAATAATTACCAAAACCTTACGTGATCTCACTGGTGTCTTAATTTTACTCTGAATGTATTCATTGTCTGAAAAGAATTGTCATCCAACAAGGCTACTTTCTTATACCAGTAAGATGTATTCAGGCAATTCCATTCTGGCTTCAGTTAAACGCAGCAATTATTGGAGGCAGTTTGTAAACCAGAATATAACTATTAAGTTGTATTAATGAGATAATCAGAGAATCACGTGACAGCCTGTCATATGCCTGCGTTCACTTAAAATAAGTAAGTTCTTGTTAGAACTTTCATTAAAATGGGTAGCCTTTCTTAACAGAGACTTCCTGGCTTTCAGCTAAATCAGTGCTCTGTGTGCACCAGCTTTGTAGTTTCATGTTATGGTCCATATTCAAGGACTTATTGTCAAGATGTATATATAAGAATACTATTATATTTGTTCTGTATTAAAATGGAATAATGTTTATAATTTGCAAAGAAGGATAGTGATGAGAAGACTTGGAAAATTCAGCTCTATCAAAAACTTAGAATGAAGATGAATGGTAAGAAGGCCTCTCTATGATGCTGGAACAGTAATGGCTGATGGGTAGCTTCTCTTCTTCCACTCTGTTCTGATTTAGCTTTAACATCTGTACTTCCCTAGATGCTGTCTGTCAGTCTGTGAATTTGTAATGAGTAAAGGGATCTTGTAGCATCTGAGTCTCTTGCAGCTGTCTCTGTCAGCTACCTACAGCACAGGCTCATATCATAATTAACAGGTAGCTGTCAAATGCAATTGGATCTAGTAGTTGGATCCACTGATGAAACAAGACAGGGAGCAATTTACAGATCTATCAGCCCTGTTTTCCTCGTGGAGGTCTTGTCTGCTTTACCCAAGTGTGGGCTTAGATCAGCTTATGTTCAGTGCGGGTAACTTGTCAACATGCTACAACACTGAAATTGAACACTGTCCTTTTCAGTTTTTAGTAAAGGGTATTACAAACTGTGAAGTGGTTTATAACTTTTTGGATACTTAAGCTATTCAGGTGTGTGTAAATAAGGAATGAGTTTTGCACTGATGATTAAAAAAATACTGACTGTAGTAAAAACTGATTCATGTTTTCTAGCTAAAATACATAAAAGGGAGAGAAACCATGTCAATTTATATTTAGAAATGTATTATGATTGCCTCCTCCGTCCCCGAACTTTATGTGGTGAGATGTTGACATCCCTAATACACCCCTCTTGGGCAGAAGTCAGTACAAGGCCTACACTATAACTTTCTTTAAAGAACTTTTCTGTCAGCCCATTCCTGACTGCGGTAAATATGCTGTGAAAAACACCAATTTTGCTATTTCAGAGCAAGATCCTTTCTTTCCACTTATCTGACTGAGATGAAACAAGCTATTTACGGTATAGTATACCACAGTGTGGTTTTGCTCAATTTATTTCTGACTGTACATTAATGAAAGATGACATAGCCACCTAAGTGCATTGTGTAAAATTTCTAATTTGTTGTTCTGCATCTGGATGGGTGACAGATGATAGGCTTGTCACTGTTCTTGTAAGTCCTACTGGGGACAGAGCTGTACTCTGAAACTAATGCATATTACCTCAGAACTGTGTATCACATGAAGATTTTTCCAGAAATGATTCTGTTTTATAGAATGTTGCCACAAGTACTTTTATGTTTGACTACTGTTCAAGCTAATGTGATATTTAAAGTAATGTTCAGAAAGAACAGCTGTGGAATGTGTTTGGTAGATACTTGTTTATTTTTGGAAGCCTTATCATTACCTTCTTTAAAAATGAATTTTTGCCTGGATATTTGGTAGAGTTAATTAAAACCTTGCTTCACAGTCTGTCAGCAGTAGACAACAACTTACCATGCCTCTTGGCTAGCTCAGTATGTGTTTTGGCTCGTTTTGTCTGTCTCCGAACTATCTTGCGATGTGTCTAAACCATTACGCTACCCCATTTCATGCAGAAAGTCCCTGGAGGCACTGAGATATACTATTCCTTTCTTCTTGTATTCTTTGACAGGCACATGCTTTTGGATGCTTATTGGCATACCCTCAGGACAAAATCCTTGCCACGAATGAGACTATTGTGAAACTACCCCTGTTTTTTTGGGGGGCAGGATCTCATCTTCAGGATATGTTGTATATGGTGGGGAGGCAGGCAGATCCCACGGTACAGAGATGGTCCAGGGATTCATCTCCCTGGAAATAGGTGAATTCCCAGTGGCGCAGAAGGTTCCTCAGGAACAAGGGAGCTTCTTCAGCGCAGTGTATTCAACGCAGGAAAATCAGACAAAACCCAATGTTTTGTCAGGCACTGCTGGTCATGTGCCCCACTTGCTGGGAAATCAGAAATGTCAAGCCAGCATTAGGAAGGCGTTGCTGATGGTACTGGGTGGGTACTGGTTAAATCAGTACCTTTATATGTTCAAGTTATCTCATAGTCTGGATGTTTGGCTTTCATTTTCTTTTCAGACATGGAATATTTCACTTGTCCAAAGCTCACGGAACATCCACAAACATGGATCTTTTCTCCTTGCTCTGGTGGGAAAGCCTGTCCCTGATCAAGTGCTCCCAAATGCCACTACCATCCTTTCCTATATAGGCTACCCACCACAGCCATCCACAAGGTCCTTGGCAGGTATCTTCTCAGTCCATGTGCAAATGAGTGCCTGCGAATCTTCATAATAATAGTGTGCCTTTGAAATAATAGTGTCTTTAAGGTTGATGTTTGGGACAAGACTGTTCTTACCACTATTTGTTTCTTTCCTGGAACTGTTTACTTCATTCCTTTTTCTTAAGAGACGCTTTCCACATCAGTTATCTTTCCTGCTTACCAGTTTTTGGTTTTGATACTGTTATTCTTCTGATTATAAATTGTATTTTCCTCTGCAGTTTTAACTTGTCTGTGTCCCTTTCCCATGGCTGTTAGACTGTCAGCTTCAGAAAAAGTTCCTCTTCAAGTAAACTTTTTAAAGAAGTAATTATGGGGAATTTGTGGTAGACTGCAATATAGGCCTCTGGGAATCTTGTGTGGAGAATTTTTCATTTTTCCTTGCTGTATAGTGTGTTAGATCTAGTTCAGATGGTTTTTGCCACTGTATGCATGGAATTGTTACATTTGGTACTGAACAACCTGCACTACTCGAACTGTATTGTTCTTACTGAATTAATGTAGAACATGTAGTAGGTGTATGTTTTTGTGAGCCTGTGAGGAAGACGTTTCATTTCTTGTCTGAATGACGCAAAGTTAACACACTTCTTAATATGTAGGATTATTTCACGAGTTTTCCAAAGTGTTTGGTAAGGTCTGTCACTGAATGAAGCTAGGGCCTTTTGGGAGCCGATACGGATAGACAGTACAGGCTGTAGTGTCATTTGGAAATGAGGGTTATGTTTGCAGTGAGGGATAGAGTTGAATATCTACAGGGAAGTTCCAGCAAATATTCTGTTTCTGGGATAGAAATTTTCAAAAAATACTGTTTTTTGGTTTTTTTTAGGGGATCCACTTGCTCACTCATCCACATTTTCTGAGACAGTCACTTCAGTATGTCTGTTCTTCTAGCTTGATTCTATAATGAAGAAGAATGTGCTCTTATATTGTTTCTACCGGTAGTGGAGTATTCTGTATTTGCAATCTTCTCCAATCGTTTGTCTTTGCTCTTTCTATGAAAATTAAGGCACCTGCCCTCTTTGCTCTCTGCTAGCCCACATGCAAAGACTAGTTATGTTCTGGCCTCACAGTATCAATGACCTGTTTTATTCCTATAGAGCTATATCTTGAATTCTAGAAGGAATAGCACCTCTGCTGAGATAAAGATGAAAGGAGTGGGTTTTGTTCCATAGAACTAAGTAATGTTAAACTAAGTAATCTTGTGCTCCTCATCATATATTCATAGTAGCTAGATTCTTGCTGTCTGATGCCAGGATAGCAAGATCAGATCTGTAAGGCAGGAAGGAGGTTTAGCTGTTTTCTGAACGGTATAGTCGCAGAGAACTGCAGTACAAAAAACAATCTTTTTCTAGTCTTCTGACATGGAGAACTCATCTTTTAAGTTGCTTCTTTTCATGCAAGGAGAAAAGAAAATGATGTTTATGTGTTAGTCCCTTTATGAGCGTAATGCACTCCTCTGTCTTCTGTGTTGAAAGAAATGGAGACAAACCCCAAGCAGGCAAGAAATAGGATTAAAACTTAAAAGATTAAAAAGGCAGTGGTATAGGCTTTTTTCGTAAGCATCATACTTTCATGTTTGAAGTTTCACGAAACTTAATGTTTTGTGACTCTGTTCTGGAGTCTTTCTTTAAATGGAAATTTTCTTGGTCTTGATAGGTGGCACCAGTGTTGAATTCACAGCACTAAAAGTCCAGTTGTTCAGTGTGGGTGAACTTCGGGTGCAAATGGATTTAGGCTCTTGAGACTATGGAAATAAAGACTGGGAAAGTTCTACACAGATTGACATGTCATCAGCAATCAAAACACTATGTAAGTGCCTGATGTTATTAAATATCGTTGTCAGCAGTCTATGAATCTAATGAATATTGTAACCTTTAATGTTTTAGATACCATTGGGTTGTTATCACTGCTAAGTGTTTTCTACTGAAGGCTTCCAGAGAAACCTTTTGCAGTAGAGAGCCATCCTCCCAACCCCCCAAGGGTGAACAGGCTTTTCAGCCCATGTCAGCATGGATTCTATTAGGTTTGGGAGGCGCAGGAGGAAACTGATTTAAGAGAATGCAAGTACCTTTTGGGTCCAAGAAACATGCCTTCTAGTTAACCAAAGATGGGGAAGAATTCCCAAGGCATTAAATCATGTCTAATTGATTAGCTTCTGAGGACTATTATCCAAAAGCTATCTTGGACAGATTTGGAAAAATGCTTGTTAATTTTTCTTAAAAAATTAACATTACTTCATTAGTTTCTCCTAGAGAAACTATGATATGGTGACTTGGATTTATGGGAGATGACAGCAGGTAACTGCAGTATATATGCTGTAACATAATGGAGGAGGGGTGTTCAGGGAGCCGTGCGCTTCTGCGTAGTGCAATGATGTTTAGTGTGTATGCTGCCAGTAAGAGAATTCGAAAATTAAATTCACAAAGCTTATTCTACTACTGTTTTGCAAGATCGCTTTGGCCATGGGTTACTTTAACTGTTAAAGCTCTATCTTTAAGTAAAAGATCTCTTAAAGAGATCTTGTGTTTGGTCAGGTAGGCAGGCACTAGACTCATCTGCATGTTTTGGCCTTCTGACGAGTAATACTGCTGCATTACCCAGGAGAGACAACTGAAGGGAAAAGGGGAAGATTAGATTCCTCTGGCATCTCCTTTCTTACACAGAAGTAGAAAATGCATGGAGTCTTGTAGTATTGATGCCCTCAGGCTACTTCTTAGAAGATGAGGGAGGTAATTTTGTGGCGAGAGGAATGCATACCTTTGAAGTAACTGTGTAGTGGCAGCTGCACCTGTGAGCTGGGCTGACTCTGACCTAGAGACTGAGGTATCCAGCCGTACTGATGAGCTGCAAATGGTGCTGTTGAAAGCTAGACTTATTCCTGTGAGAGGCTGCTATAATTGGAAGCACGAATTTAAAGCAGCAGTGGCAGCATCTGGCAGCTGGGAGCTATGCATGTGTGAGAGAGAGCTGGACTCTGGAGGAAGGAAAACAGCACTGGTAACTTGTATGCGGTTGGGAATACAAAGCTGATTATAATTATCCGGGCTGGCAGAGAGAGGAAGAGGTGAAGGTGGGATCTTCAGAGCATTTTTTCTGAACTAAAGCATATCCTGGTATTAATCGCACAGGGTATTTTCTCAGGAAAATAAACACAGTGTGGTTTGTCATTCAAGTAGTTTTGACTCTGCCCAGGCCAGATATTAGGTATTAATATTAATATCAGATATTAATTAATGGCTGATCTCTGTAAGCCATGATGACTAGAACTGTGCTCCAGAGCTGAGCTGCAGTTCATAAAGGTCTGTTAAGAGTCATACATCGGATGCATGTCACAATCAATTGGCTTCTGCCTTATTGTGTTATGTTTGCAGAACAGCACTGTAGCCTAAATGATCCTGCAGGCTTGACAGTTAAGTCTTTCCCATTAAAGTGGGGATGTGGCCTTGAATCCCCTCAAGCTGAGGAGGAAATGAACTGTTAGGCAGGAGTCTAGCTGAGTCTGGACTCAGCCATATCTCACTGCTGCTCAAAGGGCACAGCTTGCTTCTTCCTTAACTACTCCTGCCCCTCTCCTGTTCCCAGCACTTCTGTACGTCTTCTCTCTCTTTTTGCCAGCTCAGGCAAGTGCCATAGTGCTTCCTGAACTGCTTTAATTTGCTAATATAACAGAATTGAGAAGCTGAAACAATCTTTAACTTCATCAGCATCCATTTGTATTCTTTGCTTGGATCTAACATATACTCTTCCTAATTCTATTACCTTTTTCCCCTTTAGATGTGGCTAGTATTAAAACTGAGTATGTGTTTGTGCATGCAGTTTAGAGGAAAAAGAATAAAGATGCAGAGGTATCAAAATGCCATTGGATTTTTGCAAATGCACTAAATTCTTTGATTTTGGATAGGAAAAATGCATTCTAAAACATATTTTTATATTCTAATGAAATATTTTGGTGTTGTGGTAAGAGATGACATTTACTTCCAAGACTAGTGAAAACTGAATGCAAAATATTTTGTTCAAGCACCAAAGATGCCTCTTCTGACTCCATGACTTGGCAAATAATGGAGTTTTTTTTTTTTTTTTGCTTTGATCTGTCTCGCAATGAAATGCTAAGGCTTTTCACAAACAAAAGGATTCTTTTTTTCATCTCATCCTATTCAATACCATTCCCATCCTTACTTAAATCCAGTCCTCCCACTTCCTCTGCTAGTTTGTTGCTGAGCGCCATCTGTCAGCTTTCTGGTCCAGTTTTATAGATGCGCAATTAACTGTGTACAATGGGGGAGACTGATTTACTATGTACCTAAAGCTACAGTGAAACTAGGATAAATAGAAAGTAAGTGCATTGAATAGCAATGAATCAAAGCAAAGTAGGTTACTGAAGACATCTTTAAGAAGAAATAATGCTACTCTCTTGGCTTTGCTCCTCTGCAGAGGAAGAAAGTGGGAATAAATTTCATATTGCATTCTGCCTCTCTCAATTAGCTGTCACCAGTTAACGATTTCCTATGTGGGAGCAAATTCACAGTTGTTGTCACATAACAAAGATAAATTCTATCAGCTCACTTCAGCAGATGCAATACTTTAGGATTTAACTCTTTTTTTTTTTTATAGTAAAATTCTTTCTCATTAATGTAGGAATTTGAAAAAAGGAGCCATTTTTCTTGTAACTCTTAATAGGCTCATCAACACTTACTCATGGATTCCTATTCCTTTTGAAAGAAATCTACAATGTTGTACATCTTTGAAGAAAAGTTATTTAAATTATATCATAGGCTCAAAGCTGTGATTAAAGGCTGAGGAGATACTACTGAAAGTAAGTATTTCTTTTTTTTTTTTTTCTTTCAGCAAGTAACATATCTCTTTGCAACGTATAGGTTCCATGACATATGTAATTCTGCAGCCTTCAAAGAATAATGAAACCGCAATGTTTCTGAAAGACCGTAAGGAAAAAACATAGTTTTACTGACAGAGCACCCTAGGAAACCCTTGCTGGGTTTTTACACTCAAAAATTTGTGTTTTCTGTAATTCTGTTGTAGAATTCTCCCCTTGCTATAACATTGTGCTCTAGCATATAACATTTAATTTTGCCAAAATGTGCAATTATTTCTCAGCTGAAAATGCAAGCTGGAAAATCTGAACTGAGTGTGAACCATACTACTCAAATCCCCTTGAGTCTGCTGCAACCTAAAGCAATAGCTCTGAGAAATATGGACTGCTCCCTTTGTCTTAACTGCCAGTTAGTTCTGAAAAGGAAGGATGAAAATTTAAATCTATTTAAAATCAAAAGGCAGACTATTATATTAGTACATACAAGTAGCACAGACTACAATTATATTAGTATAATTGATTACATAGGGCTTTTGATGTGCTATTTCTCTTCTCCGTCTTGAATTTGGTTCAGACCTGTGCAGCAATTTCCTTCATTTTTATAGGTTTTAACAGAGTATGAAGGGCTTTTCTTAAATAAACTTTTATCCTTAATCAAAGGGTAGTTTAGCACCTGCTTGCCGTCCCCTGCACAGATCGTCTTTGGTTCCAGAATTAGGAGGGAAAACAGTAGACAAATGGATACAAATGCCAGGCTGAAGAATGTTTCTTGAAGAGTTTTCAAACACAGTGTCCCTTCTACACAGGACAGTAGAGGGATGCATTGCATTTGTACAGTCTTGATCAGAAGGTTTGTTCCGAGTGCAAGATAACTTGACTCCAAACTAACTTCATTCAGTGCTGGTTTCACATTATTTCCATGATAAGGAGAAGTGATTACTTAAGAGATAGAAACCCAATTTGCATTCCAATTGGCCAAACTGTTTCTATGGTTGCAGAGTGGTATCTAAAGATTTAGCTGAAAAAGCAGTTTAAAGATGAGAAAACAGCCTGTTGCATCTTCTCATCAGATCTGCTAGAGTAAAATGGAGCTCTAGGCTACATAGGAAATACAGGCAGGTTTTTTTTTGGCATTGAATCCTTGCAGATACCCCTCTTCCCAAGTAAAACAAAACCAAAAAAACCCTGTGAAGTTCATATCCTCTATTGCCAAAACTATAGTGTAGTTGGCCTCTTTTGTGTGTTTTGTTGTTGTCTGGCAAAGCTTGCCAAAGACTTATTAGAACATCTTCAGTCTTACAGTAAGATTCAGGGAACCTGAATCATGTGGGAAGGTGACTTACCAATATGCACCTAAATGTGAAATAGGAAAACAAGAATAATATTTGTTTTAGCTATGTGCTGCAAGGACACTTCACCCCACATTTACTCAGATAAATCATCACACAGAGCACTGACTAATTTATTGCTGTGTTTTTCTCTGTGGTTTATCATTAGAAATAATATCGTCTTATTTTTTCTGAACTCTGCTAGCAGTTAAAGTATGAATAAAAAATGTATAATGAAATATAATAAATTAATCTTGAGTTTTCCTGGGCATTCTTTTTGACATGCACCTCTCTTGCCATGCTACAACTTTATTTCTATTTCAGAGAGGCTATTTTTTATTTTATTTATGAAAGTGCAGATCATTAGCAACACCTGTAATTTCTATACTAATTTTCAGAGCTTGTCCTTAGGCCATTAAGGTTATACAGAGCCAATTGCACTGGAATAACAAGTATTAGATTCTTATTAGCATGCAGGAGCCGGATGACATAGTTATAACAGGGGCTTGGCAACCTCCATGGAAGTCAAGCATAGTTAGCCATCTGGGGATTTAGGACGTAGGGGTTTAGGGGATAAGGAACAGTCTTAGCGAAAGAAGGGGAAGAACTGAGTATTTCAGCTGGGAAAGAGGTAAACCAGTTGCTACCTGAAACCATTGGGTGCTGTGTTGGGTAGCACTGGCTGCCATTTTAAGTTCACAGAATTACAGAATAACGTAGACCACAAGGGAATAATTTAGCTTGTGCAGTTGAGCTTTGTATGCTTCCAAGTTTGGAGAGTCCACAGCTTCTCTGGGCAACCCATTCCTATGCTCAGTCATCCTCATGTGAAAAACTGTTTTTTGTATGTGCAGGCAAGACTTCCCTTGTTGCAAGTTGTGGCCATTTCCCCTTGTCCTTTTGCTGCATGCCTGTGGGAAGAGCAACTGAGTTTTTTCTATAACCGCCCAAATTTGTCTCAGCATGACCAGAACATTAAAAATCATGGGGAAAGAAGTTTAACTTTATTCATCTGAGCCTAACTGCTTTGCTCGGAACGTCATTCATTCTGTTCTTGTTCCTGCTCAGAGCTAACTCTGTCATGTCATCTATTAGGAGTGGAGAGAAAAGGTACTAAAATATAGCTTAAGAGACAAAAGAATTGTTCAACAGCAGCACACAAGCATGCAATATAAGGATTAATCCCACAGTTGTAATACCATCCTTCTTCTTCCTCCCACCTTGCTTGTTTTCTCCGTATATCCTTTGTACAAGGAAATGTATTTGCCTCATGAAGGCACCAGCTGTGGTTCTGCGCATGTGAACAGGAAAACAAATGAAGAGTGAAAAACCCAAACTAAACTTCACTGTGTTTTTTTTCTTTGCAGTTTTAACACTGGAAATAACGTTGCCTTATTTTATTTAATGAACGGTAATGTAGAAAAATTGTATGTAAACTCACAACTGCTCCTCGCCCCCAAGCAATTTCTCTGTAGTTACATTTTCTAGTAATAAGGTTACAGGACTAACACTGCAGTCAGGCCACTTCATGAAAGGAATTGTTTCCATTTATTGCACATTCGAACTATTTGTAACTGTTAGTTGTTTTATAAGGCACAAAACTTTATGATGTCGTTGGCAACAAGTCTATCTTACATTAATTTATGATGCTTTGATTCTTTTTGATGGTATTGATACATAGGCACAAGTGAGTTGATATTCTACGTTCTTGTCTCACATTTTCACAGAGGTGCTACACAAAATTGCACACCATTTCTTAATGCCTCAGGTCTGCATTAGGCGTATGAAGAAGTCCGGGCACAATAACTGATGTCTTTGTGTTTTGATCAATGCCTTAGCAATGTGCACCAAACTGTTTTTAACTCTATCAGATAAATCACTCAGGAGAACTGATGTTTCCGTGGAACGACAGTGGCACCTATACATTTGTCTTTATGGAAGGAGTTCATCTTAAATTTAGGTTAGTAGTAAAAGAAAGCTGAAAAATTCTGACCTGCCACGTGGGGACTGCAGAATGGCTGCGGGACACAGTGAGAAAACTTGTGCTCAGGTTCTGTGCTGGTACAGGCTGGTGTTATTTTTGCCATCAGTATGGATAACACAAGAAACAAGAACAGAATGCAATAAGATAGACCTTTAGGTCCTGATCCTGCCGTTTGCGTATGTGATTATTTATTTACAGAAACGTTCAGCTGACCTCAGGCTTCCGTTGATACAAATGAAGCATGTGACCAAAAATATGAATAATTAGGTCTTCATTTAAAATTAGCTATGAGGCTTTTGCGAATTTCTCAAAAAGAAGGTTATTTCAGTTAAGATTCTGAAGTCAACTTTTTTTGTTTGAGAGATGAAAAACATTGAAGTACTCTTCCATGAAAGTGTGAGGTGGCACCCAGTAAAGGTTTGAGTAGTAAAAGGCATGATAATGCTGTAATTATGCGCTATTGATCTGACCACGTGAGAACACTTTAAAAGTACAGATGATCTTAAATTCAATTAGTCTAATACCTTAGAGACTCCTTTTAAACACACACTGACTTTTAGTATTATGCCACTTTACAAAATCTGACATTGTACATCATAAGTCAGTAAATGACACTACTTCAAAAACAGAAAAAAGATATGTTGCTTATAGCTGATTCTGCACAAGGGAGAAAGGTGTGCGCACGCACACATGCACACCCTGTTATCATTCTAGTGTAATAGCTTAGATTTTGGGGCTATGTAAGCTTACTCCAGGGTCCTAAGCTACCTACGGATATTCCTTTTACCTTTCTTTTCTCCAGTCTCCCAAATGTATTGCTTCCTCAGCTACTGTGTCAGATGTGCGGGTTGGTTAGATCCCAGGTAAGCAGACAGGCGTTTCGCCTGGCTGTACAGTTGAAAATGCCTGCATGCGAGCTGAAAGTCATTTTTTTCATGTTTATCATCAACAGCTAGAAAGCAACAATATTTTTTTTCTCTCTTATTTTAATAAACAAATTGGACTCTTATCCAGATTTGCCACACAGGGTAGATATCAAGGATTTATATAATATTATTCAGTGTTTAGAAAATATTTAATGTCACTACAGAGTACAATTTGCATTATTCTCATTTTTCATGCCAACATGATTTGTATGGCAGCCAATGTATGACAGAGAATTTCCCTAATTAATTTTTTTTGCTGTGTTGCCCTAACATGACTTAAAATGTACAGCTTAATGTATTAATATTGCTTTTAGTTTCCATTGTATAGCAGGTAGTAATTTGCTATTAATAGCAAATGTTTACAACAATCTTCAGACGCATATGTTCTAATGAAAGTGAACATCCAACATGTTGGCTAAGGATGAGTCATATTTCACAACAGCTCTACAGGGAAGAAGATTTGAGTTGTGTATTCATTCAGAGTAATGGCCATGAGAATAAATTGTTTTCTTTTGTAAGAAATATATTTTGTGCTGTTTATTCCATGCCTAAAAGATGGATTAGTAAATGTGAAAGTACCAAGCCTGGGCGAACGTACGGCATGTGGCAAGCAAGGTAGCTTCAACAAAAGTTTGAGGGGAGGGCTCTCTGAAAACTTGATTAATTAGGTTTTGTTGCTAAGCACAAAGCCTACTCTATATGCGTTTTTATCACTCGAGAATAAGGTACCAGCATATGCCATCCTAGTTACCATGGTTTCCATTCAGTCATGGTGCCCTCTCAGAAAAGAAACAAGTTTAGTTTTCTATTTGTTACATATATTACTTTAGGTATCTTAAAAACAGAATTGCAAACTGACTACTTGTGGACAGATCATGATGATTCTATTGCTGGAATGAGATACATACTTTCCCAGGCCTAGAAGCTAATTTGAAAATATACACTGTCACGCAGATTCCTTTTCTTTGAGAGCTGAGTGGTGTGGGATGAATCTTTTGAAAATGGCAGGTTATGACTCACCGTGAAAGTTAACAGCTTGCGTACTTCCCGCTCAATGCTAGTCAGTAGCGTGTAACTGCCAGTGGGCTTGAATGCCCTCGGGGGCAGAAGGGACGGCCTGGAACGGCCAGCGGCCACAATGGGAATTCGGCAAGCTGCGAGGAGGACAGGCGTCTGCACGATGATGCTCCAGGAGGTGAAAAAGATCTGAAGTGTGGAGGAAGTCCCCTTCTAAAAGAGTAGTCATACTACTCTTGCAGTCTTTACAGACTTAAAAAAAGAGACTTGAAGTCCTAAGAGAAAAGCTAATTCCTTTTGACCACAGTGTTTATTCTGAAGGTGTCAGGCTAGATCAGCAGCTTCTGGTTTTTTGGCACCTCTGAACACCTGCCATAAGAGAAACGCACAACGACCTCTCTAACAAGGCCCCTTGTGGACGCTAGCTGTACTTAAATCACAGTGTGATACTTTCCTAGGAAAATCTACAGTAATTTAGTTTGAGTGAAACAAAACACATGTGAAGAACAAAATATGAAAGAGATTAATGCTATCAGAACAATAGACAGTATACTCAATTTTTTCTAAATGTTCACCTTCTTGCGGCACAAGTGTTCTCAGAATATGATGAACAAAGTAGCATAAGCTGGTCCTCAGGCAGCAAGTTACATGTGAAATGACATATGAAGTATGCCAAGACTGATGGGATCATCCCCTTTTTTTTTTTCTGAATTTGTCTACAGAAACAACCAAGAATGAAACAGTAGTACAAAAGGTAATTTCAGGAGGTTTCAGAGTCAGCTCACAATTACTAAACAAGCCTGTTCAAAATTTTCACACCCATCACTATTTCAGACTTCCGGCAGCTTTTAAGAGCTAACACTCAAGCAGTATACGTGATTCATGTGGATGAGACCATGCAACAATGGGCTGTAAGAACTTGTATGATGAAGCATAATTCGGTGGAAAGGAGCACATCCTGAACAGTCAAAATACATTGTTTTTTTCATTATAACTTTAAGCATAATAGAAAATTCTAAAATTCTTCCATCAAAGCCAGAAAAGTCTTACACATGTTACATAGGGAGATTTATTTGTTTTAATATCTCCTAAAATACTTACAAGATGAGGATCTGTTTTCACTTGTCACTAAAAAACTGTGTTATG